TTCTGGACATTTATGGTTTGATTTCTTTGTATGTATGGATCACTTGGGTTGTTACCGACATCTGGTGAACATTTCATGTCATTGGCACCTCTAGTAATATATTTACTGAGAAAAATGGTGACGTGTTCAATACTTATTTTACCCGCTGTATATCCGTCTGGATCTGTCCGACTTTATTTTAAAGTCTTTGCTGAAATGTTTCCCATAAACTGATAGCTGAGATCAATAATACAAAAAAAGAATTTAAAATCAAGTAGGTCTTGTGCTTTTTTTCCTCATCTGCAGCCAAAATCTCCACCAACACTGTTTCCAAGATAAAAACTTTAAAACCAACGCTTGTTCTTCATCTCCATCTGAAGCTTCCGGGGTCACTGACTCAGACTGTCTCCGAGGACGAAGCACTTCCTGTTTTAGGAGGAGGACTGGTAAATACATCCCACTAGAGAATCACCTGAGCTTCACCTGCTCTGGCTCTGGTCGTACCTGGAGGGAAATCAAAGCCATCATCAGGATGTTAATAATGTTTCTGCTTGGACTCTGGTTCGTTTTGAATGAATGACYTCGCTCACTGTTTGACGCAGTCAGGGATCTGCACGTGCTCAGTGGGGATGAGGTGAGACAGCTCCTGGAGGCTGTCGACAAACTGCAGCTTCCTGCTGAACTTGGAGCTGAGGTGGAGGAATAAAAGTTTTTTTTTTTATTGAATTAGTTCCATTAGTAAATCCCTTTGTGTCTCAGTTTTAACGTGTTGCTGTGTGTTGTTGAAGAAGAAGAGGCAGCAGACCTGATGAAGGGTTTGATGATGGTGATCAGAACTTTGATGTACCAGGTGGGATGAACCACAAAGAAACCCTTTAGGTTCTTCCTCAATCTGCACAAAAACAAACAAGTGATTTAAAAATCTGTCATTTCAGTTAGTTTTTAGTCAGTTTTTCTTGACTACAACAATGAGATCAGGGAATTAATCCCTCTGAAGATCCAGTTTCAGATAAATYAACTAAAAAATAATTTTAAAATACTTTTGATTCACACCAAACACTCATCAAATCTGGTTTCTGTGCATGCAGGTTTATCAGGCTACTCTTTATCTAAACAGAGCAGAGAGTTGTTCTTCACAATAAAGACATCACTCCCTCTACTGGAGTCTCACTGAAACAACACAGCAGCTGAAATATTGCTCAGGGCCACATGCAGCTCACTGGTCCRTCTTGGCTAAATGTTTCTTTGTATGTAAATGTTATGTTACATCTTATTTTTAACACTTTTTACCAAAAGCAAAATATATATTTAAAGATTTCAGGATGAGTTTGATGCATTTAGCTGTTGGTTCTGACCTCCTGTCGATGGTGGTGTAACAGTCCTTCAGCCAGCTGATTCCAGGAAGTTTATCCTTCTGTCCTCCAGCACAAAGATAAACGATCACATAATTCTCTGCCACCATCAGCTCCAGAGTCCCGATGATGAACCTGACAGGAGAACAGAAAGATGATCGACTCAGAACTCCGGCGACTCGTTTTGTCACCGATGGTCCTTCACAAAGACAGAAGAATGAACGAGAGTCATCTTTTACCTGAACAGGTTGTCCATCACATACTGGTAATTCTCTATCGTGTTCTCCGGCAGGTAACAGGAGGAAAACACGATGATGTCATTCATACCGTCACCATAATAACCTGAGGAAGATGGAAAGATGTGTAGTTAGGTAGGTAGGTAGGTAGGTAGGTAGGTAGGTGGATAGGTTTGTAGGTAGGTAGTTAGGTAGGTAAGTTTGCAGGTAGGTAGGTAAGTTTGCAGGTAGGTAGGTAGGTAGATTTGTAGTTAGGGTAGGTTTGTAGGTAGGTAGATAAGTTTGCAGGTAGGTAGGTAGGTAGGTAGGTAGTTAGGTAAGTTTGCAGGGAGGTAGGTAAGTTTGCAGGTAGGTAGGTAGGTAGGTTTGTTGTTAGGGTAGGTTTGTAGGTAAGTAGGTAGGTAGTTAGGTAGGTTTGTAGTTAGGGTAGGTAGGTAGGTAAGTAGGTAGGTAGTTAGGTAGGTTTGTAGTTAGGGTAGGTTTGTAGGTAGGTAGGTAGGTAGGTAGGTAAGTAGGTAGGTAGGTAGGTAGGTAGGTAGGTGGGTTTGTATGTAGGTAGGTAAGTTTGCAGGTAGGTAGGTAGGTTTAGTTAGGTAGATAGGTTTGTAGTTAGGTAGGTTTGTATGTAGGTAAGTTTGCAGGTAGGTAGGTTTGTAGTTAGGGTAGGTAGGTAGGTGGGTATATAGAAGTAAAACTGCAGGTATAATTATAGCTAAAACAAGCAGAAAGTATCAAAGGTCTAACAAAAAGCAGAAACTGGTAGCTAAAAGAAGTAAAAGAATAGCTAAAGGCTATAAATGGTCAAATGCTATAAAAAATTGGAAACATTTTATCTAAAAGCTAAAATAGCGAAAAAATAGCTAAAAGCTGTCAAAGGCTCTTGAAAGCTAAAGTAGCAACAGGCTAACTAAAAGCTAAAAGTAGCTAAAGGTTACCTGAAAGCTAAAGTGGCAAAAGGCTAGCTAAAAGTAGCCAAAGGTAAAGTAGCTGGGCAATCTAAAGTTTGGAAGAAAAATAAGATGACAGATGTTAGAGTTCAGGACTCCAGGTGAAGGTGCAGCAGGTGCAGCAGGTGCAGCAGGTGCAGCAGGTGAAGCAGGCGGTACCTCCATGTGACAGCACCCTCAGGAACGGCTCCAGAACGCTCATGTTGACCCGAGACTCCTGCGGAGGGTCACCTGTGGAGAAGCAGCGCCACCTGGTTCCCTCACTGTCCACCACGTCCTCCTTGTCCAGAGCTCCCAGCCCGTTCTGGTCGACCCCTGGGAGAGAACCGGAACGTGAATCTGACCTGGAGCCAGAGGCCCTGTGTTGACGGGATGCCACGCCGAGACGTCGCAGGTCGTCTGAGAAACAATTCAGTGATTGAGGGGAACATCAGATGCTGCTAACCAAAACGCTCTTGACCTTTGACCTCTCACCTTCTAGGTTCATGTCATAGATGGGGAAGTGCAGCGATTCGCTATCTGAGGGCGTCTCCATGGCYTCCAGGTCGATGTCGAGTCCGATGTCATCGGCCTCGTCAGGTGACGGGGAGAGCAAGCCTGAGGGGAAGTCATCAGACGCCATCGACATGCTGCCACCTGAGGAGGAAACATCATCATCATCACAGAGCATCATGTGACAGGATGTTTGACAACTGATCCAGAAAGATTTGAATTAAGAAAATAACTAAAAAAACACACATTACCTAAAGACAGGCTGAGTTCTGGAGCTGTCAGGACTTTCTTCTTCGTGGGTCGTGGTCCTGACAGAGACAGACTGCTGGGAGGAGCTGCAGAGAGGACACGAGGGACGTCAAGGAGGACAACTTAACACATAGACCACTTTTATTTACACTAAAACATATATACAGGTGCTGGTCATAAAATTAGAATATCATGAAAAAGTTGATTTATTTCAGTAATTCCATTTAAAAAGTGAAACTTGTATATTATATTCATACATTAC